ATTATTGGTCGTGTTTTACAGAAAACTATAACGCAGCACAGGATCTATAAGCAACATGCCCATGAATTACATTTGTTTCCACATACACATGACTAAAAGGTACCTTCTGTACTTGTCTGTGCATTTCTCCAGAACTCTCTGAGCTTATCAAAAATTATTCCAATAATAATAAATCATCAGACAATAATACATTCCTCTCCTCTGGTGAAGGAGGGGAGAAAGAGCTCATGAAAGGGAAAAGACAGGTGAGAAGGAGAGAGGAAGGATGTGTTCTTGAGCTCCCTGTAAAAAACATATCCCTGGAGATGTTTTCTTTTACTCTGTATATCATAAATAATTTTGTACCTAAGTAAGAAACTTAAAATATAGGTTTAACATATTTTACAAATATTTGGAAACAATATTTTCTTTTAAAAAAATATTTTTAAAAAAATATTTTTTATTGTTTTCAGAGAGGAAGGGAGAGGGAAAGATAGAAACATCAATCATTGTAGATAATATGCCCTCTTAATAATTACTAAGAGGGCATATTACAGTAGAGTAGGCCCTTAATGCAATATGACTAATGTTCTTATAAAAAGGGAAAATTTGGACACAAAAACAAGCACACAGGGAGAATGCCAGGTGCTGAGACACAGGGAGATGACAGCCACCTACAACCGATGAAGAAAAGTCTGGGACACATCCTTCCCTTCAGTCCTCAGAAGGAATCAACCCTGCTGACACCTTGATTTTGGACTTCTGGCCTACAGAATTCTGAGACAATATATTTCTGTCATTTAGGCCACCTAGTTTGTGGTCCTTGTTATTGCAACCCTGGCTAATAAATACACTGATACACACTAAATTCTTCTCACAGACGAGAATTCCTCAGCCTGAGCATTATTGATAAAAGGGGCCAGATAATTCTATGTGGTGGAGACCCAACCTACACATTGTAAGAGGCAGCATCCCTGGCTTCTGGCCACTACCTGCACTACACACACACACCTTTCACTGGAACCTGTACTATTCCTGCTACTATTTCCAAAGAATAAACGAGTTACAGAATTCTAAGGAAAACTCTAAAAAAAAAAAAAAATCTAGCCGAAACCGGTTTGGCTCAATGGATAGAGTCGGCTTGGGGACTGAAGGGCCCCGGGTTCAATTCCGGTCAAGAGCATGTACCTTGGTTGTGGGCATATCCCCAGTAGGGGGTGTGCAAGAGGCAGCTGATCGATGACTCTCTCATCGATGTTTCCAGCTCTCTATCTCTCTCCCTTCATCTCTGTACAAAATCAATAATAATAAAAAAAAATCTAGCTCAGTATCCACTTATAAATTTCCCAATTGCAAATAAAGCACAAGACTTTCAAAAGTATAGGAACCTCCTATCTGTAAATGAAACCCAAGAGTGAAATCCCAAGTCTTCACCTCCAGGTGAGAAGGGCTGCATAGGAAAGCTGAGCCTTCACTGAAACCTCTATCAAACCATTACAACATTCCAATGGGGTGACCCACTGCAGCACACATTAGACAAACACACTCTAACCCGCAGCCAACTTTTCTAGTCAGAATATCAGGACAATGGTTTGGAACTTCAGCATCATCTACCTTGAGGTGGGGCTATGCTGAAATTAAAGGGCATCGAAAGGTCGACTTCTCTCAGCTTGTGTACTTTTATAGGTGTAACCAGAGAAAAGAAACAAGAGCTCCGACGTTGTACGTTGGAACAGATGAAAAGGAATTATTGCATTGTAATTCCTTAAAAACTCTGGAATGCATTATATTAAATTCTCTTATGTGTTATGTGGTTCACAAACCAAACTTTTAATCCAAGTTTGCAGGACCGACAGCCTTCTCAAAATGCAATTAAAATGATGGGAAAAGGTTGGCCTTATGAGATGCTCCATTTTAGAGGCTTTTTCATTTGGCGGGGAGACTTGGGACGGAGCTCAGGAAATGCTGGCTTAACTTTCTCTTTGCTTCAATATTTTATGAGTGCTCTCCAGTGCGCAGTCTCTGAAAGCATTAGATTACCGACATGATGCTATTTCAGACAATGTGAGAGATTTTATTTGCATGAATTCTACATGTTGGAATTTTTACATATTTTTTTCTTTTACGCCTAGAAAAAAATTGTAATGTGCAAAAATGTATGCCAATTTCGTATATAAATACATGTATACTGAGACCCAATATGAGTAAAAAGTCCCCAAAAGTTTAGTGCTGTTACAAGAAATGATCATTCTTCATAATCACAGCAGAATTCCCCTCTTCAAACAACAGACTTTTGTTAACTGAAAGACAAAAACAATTTCAAACTGGGGACACCTAAATCCTTATATATTTGAAGTCAGTAAAGCAGATCTACCATCTTATCAATGAAAGCATCCTCTAATTTCTCTGTACTTTCTCTTTGTTTTTAAATCCTTACCAGAGGACTTTAATTTTTTTTTTTTTTTTTTTTTTTTTTTTTTTAGAAAGAGAGAAAGGAAGAGGAGAGAAACATCACTCAGTTTCCCCCCAGACACACCCCGACTATGTGAATTGAACCGGAAATCTAGGAATGTGAATTCACCAGGAATCAAACCTGTAACCTTTTGGGATGGGATGGTGATCCAACCAACTGAGCCACCTGCCAGGGCTTTCCCCACATTACATGTGTGTCTTCACATCATCACAAACCCATTTCCGTATGAGATGCTAAAGTCTCCAAAAACAACACTTACAGACGCATTTACTTTTCCAGATAGAAGCAATAATGAACAAAAATACACTTCCTTGGTTTTGTGCTTTTTTGGATGCTGTTATTTTCAACAATAATTTTTAAAAAAATCAATGTATATATTGTAATGAGGTTTTTAAAAAGCAAGGAAGTACTTGTGTTCATAAATATGTGATAATTAAAATACCATAGACACCCAAATGTCATATATGCTTATGATTCTTCTAACGTAAGTGGCATGTTTTAGAACAAACATGCTTTGTTAGCATGTTATTTGTTTAAACGCTTATAAGCTCATCTTGTGAAATGGCTGTAAATAAATGCTCATAACTATGTTTTGTTGAGCAGCTGTAAATGTGTGTTGGTGCACTGGGTGCTGTTTATATGCATATAGTTCTGTAATTAGAAGATAATATATACTACATCGTTAATTGTCAGGTCCTCCGGGTGACAGTATCAACAACCGTTAACCCACCAGCTTGATTAGACAAGTGTGCAGGGCTCATAATTGAAGTTTCATTTTCATCTCATAAAGGGATAGAGCATGACAGCATCGCCTCATAAATTTGGAGATGTTATGTACATAATCAATAACGTCTCTGTGACAGCTCACAAGAGGAAAACCCAACTCCCAGGTTTAAAGATCAAATCTGGAGTTGTCGACTAGCAAACATCATTGTGACATTTTAACAAACGATCATTAAAAGGCAGTGTTGATCCAATCCAGGGGACATTTTTTTTAATCATCGCAAACATTTTGTTCCCAATCAAATAGACGGGTGGGGGAGATCATCTCGTTTTCTCAAATTTGACAGCCATATCCATTTCTGAAGAATTTGCTTTAGACGCGTAATTCACACTATGCATCGCCTTTGCTGTTATTAACTTATGTCATGTTTCTGGCTGCTGCTATGCACTGCACTAGATAACTCATCATATCTGTCTTCCCTTGTCTATATCACTAAATCCTTGGGCTTAACTCCCCTCCATGTTTAAAGATGGATTTGCTCCAATCGTCACTTGTGCTCCAGTGTCCAGTGGACACTTGAAGGGAGGCACGCTGCCCAGGTGATGCTTCCGTTCCCCAAGTGACATTTGGAGCGGGGATTCACTTCAGCATATCAACTTCCCTCATCATAAGAAATAACCAAACCAAATTACAGATGTGGTCTGTGAATGCTACATCACAAAGTAAACTGTGAGGTCCCGGGCAACGCACGCATCCATTGGTGCTGAGAAGTGATAGGAACCATTTGTGAAAGGTGGCGATGTGCTCTGAGTGGTAATGTTCTTTGGATCACGTGATTTATTTTTTGTTTGCTCAACAAAACGGTGTGTGTGTTTCCCGAGAGGAAGGACTTCAATATATATTTACTCAAAGCTCTTAATTTATGCTTCCTTTCCTTTTAATTGACGTCTTGTGAACTAAAATTAGTTGGTGAACACAGTATCTCACTATATGAGCACACTCTCTCAGCTGAGGTTGCAATAATTAGACCCACCCGTCGTCTGAAGTTGAACAGACATCTGGAGACTTGGCTTATTTCCTCCCTGGTGCATTCTAGCCATATTTAGAGAGAGATTTTTTAATTTGATGTATAGTCATATTAATTATCATTCCCTGAGCTGCAGTTAAGTTAATAATTTCACGTTAAAAGGAAAGTTCAAACAGTCTTGCCTGTAACCTTCCCGAATAAAGAGCCTGCACGAGAAGAAATTCTTTCGTGAAACCCGAGATGTTCAGAGCGCTCTAGTTCCCCAAGAAGCTGGATAGCATTTCCACCAGGAATAGAAGGTCACATGTCCCCTAATATCCCACATTCGCTTCAGGCATTCCTCCTTCTAGTCTTTTGTTTGTGTGGTAACTAGATACAGGTACAATGCGAGTGAAATTAGTTTTCCCTGATGAGTGAGGAAAATAAATGCCCCCAAAGTGCCCGAAGCCAGATCGTATCTGCCATTCCTTCTTGATCTCGCTCAAATCTTTCTCTGTCTCCCTCTCCCTGGGTCTCTCTGTCTGTCTGTCTCTCTCTCAACTGCAAGGATTGAAAATAATCCAGATTTTTCGAATTCGCCCTCACCTTGACAACGCTAACATTACAAGCAGCAGTCAACTTTTACAAGATGCCCTGGTTGTGTGACATTCGGGCCGCCAAGAAGCATGCTAAAACAAATCAGATAACCGAGGTGAGGAGAGAGCCTCCACCTGCCACGTAGCTAGCAGTGAATACACTTTTCATTTCTATGACATTTGCTGGCACAAAGGGGTTGGCTTAAGGCGGGTCGGACTAACCTTCAATTTGTCATAGCGCTCACTCAAAGCTGCCACCTGGTGATCTCGGTGCCGCCCAACCAGTTTACACAAGGCACAGATTAACTGGTCATCGGTCACACAGTACATATTCACCTTCTCATCCTCGTGCTCCAGGCACATCAGCCCCCGGATGTGCGAGTCCGGGATTGGCTCAATCAGACGATGGCCTGTGAAGGGCTTCTTGTTCGGGTGAGTGGCTTTCAGGCACTCATCACAGTAGGACACTTCGCAAGTGACACAGGTCTTCACGGCATCCTGGGCAGGATCCTGGTCACAGAACTGGCAGAGGACCTTCTCGGCGGAGGTCATGGCGTTGGCGTCGAATGCCCGCTCTCGGCGGGTCTCGCTGGGGGAGTTGGGCCCGCTCACGGACGCCTTCTGGAATCTGTCGATGATGTTCTGCAGGGTGACGTTACGCTTCAGCCCGTCTAGACCTCGCTGGCTGAGCGTGATGACATGCCGGCAGGTGGGGCACTGGAAGGCGGTAATGGACTCCACAGACTCGTTGGTGGCACAGTGGGACACCAGGATGCGGTGGGCGCAGTTGAAGCAGAGGCTGTGTGCGCAGGGCAGCAGGAGGGGGTCCTCAAAGAGCTCCAGACAAATAGGGCAGGTCAGCTCCGACTCCAGTGTTTCCATCTTCAGGCGAAGCTCTCCTGCGTCATCAGCAAATTCCAAGGAAGCTGATCAGCTCTCTGGAAGCAGAAAGAAAGGTCTGATTAGGCACAAGGGGGTCAACCATGGGGGGGAGGGGAGGCGGTCAGCTTTGAATGCATCTCATACTAATTCCAAACAGTTCATGGGAGAGTAAATCTGTGTACATTCTAAAACTCTTTCTGTTCACTGGGGAAATAGGAAGGGGACAAACCCAAAGCCAGCATACCCGCTAACATTTCTCAAAGTTTCAGTCACTGAAAATAGTAATATATTTTTGCTAGCTGTGGGATGCGAGGGTTGAGGGGAGCGATGGGTAATTTTGTTCTTTCAAAGGTCTTACTCCAAATTGGCAAGTGATTGAAGCTGTAATTTTCATAATTTGTATCTCATCACAATAATCTTACTGTGTCACAGCCAAGTTTTACCTTCCGTTGAAAATTAAAATGTAGAAACATTAATTAATGAACTATAGAGTCTTTCATAACTTTGGGTTTGTGAACTTACATGAACATGTGTATGTGTTTTTAAGAACTCTGTAATACCAAATGACGCTTAGAAAGGCACTTATTGTGGGAATGGGCCAGCAATGTGCATGAAATCAAATGCACGATTTCAGCAGAAATAATGCTTCAATCTGAGATGTCAGTTTTCAAACTGTACTCCTGGGGGAAAAAACATTGACTTCCACAAAGATGACTGTGATAGAGGGATGTTTGGGCATGTGTTTGTCACGCTTCTGAATAATTGTACTGTTGGGTCCAGGCAACGGGACGCGGGTGGGCAGAGAAAAATATCTAAGGGACGTTTGAGTGGCTGCGGTAAGCTTGGCTACCAATGACTAATAACAAAGTGATTCATCAGAACGAGGGTTTTGGTGGCTACAATATTCATTTGATAAGTTATAACAGTGGTAATGATCACAGTTTAGGAAGCAGCCGAAGGTATTATAGTAGCATTACTCCGAAGAGGCTCTCAGGCTGTGAGGGGACCCGGCACAGCCCCCCTGGCCTACAAATGCCCATCAGAGCCCTGCTGGCCCGGCACGACCTCCGCCAGCTCTGTGGCTCCCCTCCGGGCCGCCCCCGGGTGGCCCAGCTGCACGCTCTCCTTGCCACGAAGACGTGATGCTTTTGTGAACTCTGGGCTGCCTTCCCTTCATAAAGGGGCGGGGGAGGATCCCACAGAACCCGGTTCATTAGGGGAAGAGGCCTCCAGCTCATTAGCAGGCCTGGGAACCAAGCCTCTTTGAACCTTCTCCCTTTCAAGGCCATTAGCAGAGGTCTGCAAGCAGCGCCCGGCCCGTCAGAGGCAGCCCTCAGCGGTTCACCCGTGGACTCAAGTTCAAATCACCCTCGGGGGGAGAGGGGGGGCTTCTCGGGCTGATTTATGGGACGGCTTCCCATCCAGAGCTCTGCTCAGTGATGCCGCCGGTAGGCCTTTTTGTATTCACACCCCCATTTATTTACAAAACTCTCCGTTCCTCCCAAACCCTGACCCTTTCTGAAATCGCATCCCTCAGAACCGCCATGTGGTGTGTTGATTAAACTAATGCTCATCTTGCTACGAGCCGAATGCTAACTGCTCATTAAGAGTGCAGAGTATGTGCCGAGCTTGTTAAAAATTAAAGAGCTGCTGGCTTCACAGAAGCTTGGTATCTAAAAAAAAAAAAAAAAAAAAACAAAAAAAAAACAAACCCTTTAGCGGCTGGCTAATATTAATTAACTACACGGGAGAGAACAAATGCGTTTGAAATGTTAACGCGCGCTTGTCTTTCTGCCATGGAAGCCAGGCGGCTGCTGTGAGAAACCCCGCGCTCCTGCCCGGTCCCAGCCAGCCCTTCCTACAGGTGGCTTGGAAGAGATTGAAAGGTTTTACCTACTAATCACTATTTTGGTTAATCACGGAAAATAGAATTATCTCTAATTTCTTCTCTCATCCCATCACACGCATGTAAATGAAGGCAAAAATGTAGCTCTTTCAGCCAGCTTTGTTCTCAGGGGAAACAAGCACACCGAGAGCTGAGGCCATAGGGCTTTTAAGTAGGTCCAGGCTTCCTCCTGGAGTGGCACCATCAGAATTCCTGGAGGTGATGCCACTGCTGACCCCGAGGGAAATGCTGCCATTTTATTCCACTAAATAATACTGAGTGCCAGGCGCAGAGCTGGCTCGAGAAGCCAGATCTGGCATCGTCGTCCTCCCACCTCCATGATCATGGGCCAAGACAACATCACCTCCTACCCGGATTATCACAATACCTTTCTAAACGGTCTCCTGGCTGCTCTCACTCTTGCCTGCCCTCCGTAGCCCATCCTGTATTCAGAAACCAGCAGTCCTGTTCTAACAGGACCAGGGATGCCTCTCCTCTGTGCCCCCGCCCCCAGGGGCTTCCCATCTCCCTCAGAGAGAAAAGGAGCAGAAGAAAAGCAGCCCCAGAAAACACAGCCTCAGACAGTGACCTCATTTCCTCCCACTCCATCCCTTGTTCTGCTCTGGACACATGCCTCCTGCGATTCCTGAAACATGCCAAGCACGTCCTGTCTCCCCCCCCCTCGCAAGGTCTTGGAATGCACGTGACTCTCAGCCCCAATGTCACCTTCTCTGTGAACCCACATAAAGCCAATTCCCCTGCTGCCACCACAGCCACCACCCACCGCTGTGGCAAGCCTTCCCCCATCTGTTTGTTTTCCTCCAGAACATCGATCACTGACATATGTATCGGTTTGTTCACTGCACCATCTCTCCCCGCTGCGGCTCCACTAGAGCATAAACTCTCCGAGAGCACAGGCCTTGCTTTGCCCTTTGAAGGATGTCCCACCAGGGTCTGGAACAATGCCTTGCACATAGTAGGACTCAAACATTCATTGATTGGATTAATAAATGTACTGAAGTTAGAATTAAAACCCAAAGAATAAAAACATAATCCGCCGCCTTTAAGGCTCTCTCAATATATTAGAAGAGAAGGCAGCAAACTTTTCCTATAAAGGGCAAAAAAGTAAATATTGTTGGCATCGCAAGCCATACCGTCCCCATTACAACTGCTCAACTACCCTTGTAGAGTGCAAAAGGAGTCCCACACAATACGTGAATGACTGACTGTGGCTGTCCAGCAAATTCGTGTTTCTAAAACCAGGTAGCAAGCTGAGTTGGCCCAGGTGTTAGAAGAGAGAGACACGGACAGCCAGCCAAAATAGAAATGAAAATCCATCTCAGAGAGGTACGACTAAAATGCCGTGAGGGCAACAATGGCAAGCCTGGTGGAGTAAGACTTCGACAAGAACGTACAAGTTTCAAGTGCTATCAGGAAATGATATGCAATGGGACTTCCCCCTGACATCAGTGGAAATGATGTGAGTTGATTGCTATGGGGCAATTCATGTAGGAAGCATTTACTAACAGCTGCTCCAAACTGGATCTTGTTCTTTTATTGCTATCGCACTTGGCATGGTGCTCTGGGCAAGTGTCTACACTGTAAATGCCGGTTGAATGTATTAAGTGATGACAAAATACCTAGATGCAAAGTGAGGTTCAGCCAATGTTCTGAATCTCTTGCCTATATGCTGCCAAACGGAAGGGGATTTTTTTTTTTATCTGACATCAGAGTGGATGCCATCTTTTTCTACTTTTATTCAGATTTTACCATGGCAGACACGTCATTTTGGTTAAATTACTCAATAACATGTTACCAGTAAGTATACATTCCACCCTCTCACCCTCCATTTAAAAAAAAATTAGCATGGTTTATTTTCTAGTTTCCTTTAAAATATATATATATTTTTTTGAGAAATGACAATGCCATTCATTCTTTCACAAAATATGGAAGTCCCCCTAGGTGATTGGTCCTAGGACAAGGAGCAGTAAAACCTGGCCCCTGCCTTGGTGATCTAGGGGAGGGAAAATATGAACAAATTGTTATATAACATCACAAAAGGCACAGGCCAGAGACTGGGGGAGAAGAAGATGGGAAAGATTCCTGAAAGGGGCAACATGTGAAGTGGTTTTAGAAGATGAACATGGTTTGCCAAGAAAACAGAGGTTGGTGTGGGTAGATTTTGTAGAAAATGTTATATTTTCTTTTCTGAACTACCATAATTTAATTTCCAAGCCAAGAGTGAGTGAGTGAGGGGGGTGGGGGAAGTAGAGAAAAAGAGAGAGAGGACTTCTTAACTGTCACTACAATGGAAGGAAATCACACTTGCGTATCATTGTCAGGAAATTCTATAGACCAACATTTTTCTCAATGAGCTGATTGGTCCTCATTCAGGGGAGGATGTGGGTAATCGTGGGAACCCCTTGCAGCAAACTGGGAATGGCAACAATTCACAGTCACACTTCTGCTCGTCCAAGGCTTGTAGTCTAGAGCAGGGCACAGAACAGTGAGTGAAAGAACTAGAGGGGTGATCAGACTATCTAGAATGACCTACAGCTTGGCTGTTACTGGCTTGCGTGTCCTGGGTGAGTGCCCACAGAGGTTCCCTTCAGTTTCCTCCAGCACTCACTCCCATCACATTCCCAAGGTAAGCCCTGCGTCCTGGGACACTGAATGCCAGACACCTTTTCAAGAAAGGATTAAACACTTCCAAAGAAAGCACTTATTTAAAATGGAAAATTAATTCACCTCTATATTTAAGGAGTGATGAAGAATTAGGAGTCTCCATACCAAGAGCATTCTATGAGTATAATCACCTACTAAAATAAGGAGATACTCGACAGTCAGCATGTCCATGAGCTTTTTCATTCCAAATTTGTCCTAATGGAGGCACTGTTATTTTAATCATAAGGTATACCTATTTCTCAATGTTTCCCTACATGTATTCTATGTCACGTCTGCATAGGTCATGAAAAAGAATAATTTTTCTGTCTGGCTGATAGTGGCTCAGTGGTTGACTGTCAATCTATATAAACCAGAAGATCACTGTTGGATTCCATGCCTAGGTTGCAGGCTTGATCCCCAGTAAGGGGCCTGCAAAAGGCAGCCAATCAAT